TGGCAGGGGCTTAGAATCAGATGGGCTTTAAAGGTCCCTTCCAACCCAAACAATTCTGTGGTTCTGTGATTTAAAACAAATTTACTCATGCCAGAAGATTGGGAAGATGGAATGATTGAGGTGGGGTTTGCACTGCCCATACTTTAAAAATATTAAAATTCTAAAAAAGCCTTTATAAGTAAAAATGTACAGATCAGGAATATAATTTTATATAGTGAGAGTGAGACCATTCAGGTACATTATTTTAGGGGAGGATAAATCAAACTGCAATTTGGCTAAAGATCGGCTTGTTTCTGTTAGAGAATTTCTTACAGTTCTTAGTTCACAGTTGAAAAAGAATTATTAGTGGTTGGTGAAAAGGTATAAGTATTACAGAAAACAGTCTTACCAATTAAATTATTGCAGCCTGCAATGAAATAGAAAGTCATGTACATTACCCCACGTGTGGTAATGTGTGCTTCTGCACAGATGTATTTTTCACTGTCCCATTTGCCCTTGGCTCAATACAGCCCTTATATCTTGGGAGACCTTTGTGTTTCAACTTACAGAAAAATCTCCCCCCCAAAAAAGTGTAAATTAAAATCCATTTGATTTACCTGCTGCAAAGGAACTCTGGTAAAAGAGGTTCTGGTTTTCTCCCTTAACTTGCAGTGAATATGCTCCTTTTCTGCCCAAAGTTCTGCTGAACCAGACCCCAACATGATTAACACTCACTCCTCCAGCCTGCTAGATCAGATTACTTTCAGCAGCAGAATTTGCAGGGATGGGTAATCCCCATATCCTCATGGAACACGCAGGTTTTTTGATAGGCTTAGGAGACAGAAAATTTTGCTGGAGTTGTTCTTTGGGGGACAGTTCATGTGCTGTGCCCTGCCTGGGCAGAGGCTGGGGCTGGTTTTCAGCAGGCTAATCATGCAAACTCCCGATTTACAAACACTTACATGATTTTAGGATGGAAATGCTGAAAGCAGACGTGCTGTAGGTGTGCTGCAGAGTGAGTTTAGCTCAGTGACACCTGTAATCCATTGGTGGCTTCTCCAGCCCTCAGTTCAGTCATGCCAAAACAGTGCTTATAAAATCATCCTGCCTTGCAAAACCATATTTTATATAGGTGTTACTTAAAATATTTCTGGAATTGCGGACATAAATTTACATGAATTTTCATACTTTGGTGTCAAATATTTATTGTAGCAGTTACATTTTTCAAAGAGGTAGTGAGCTAACTAATTTCCTTTCCCTCCTTTGGGGACTCTAAAAAGAATTTCAAAGGCGTGCTTGTTCTTGAGAACAAGTTGAAATTGTTCTAAAATTGAAAAGCCTAAACTTAGCGTGTGATGTAAAAGCAAAAACTGGGTAGTAGAAGGCCTTGTCTAAATTAGGGACTTTCAAAAGGTATTTGCTGGTGTTGATTAAATTACAAATCTTTGGCTTCTGAAAACATCTCCTGCGATCGGTGAGCTGTTTATTGTCAATCTTTGTTCTTCAGGCGTGCTAACAGCAGCAGGATTTCACCTTGGCTCTGCATTAGACTGTCTCTTGTTTTAGCAAATTGTCCTAAAGCACCTCCCCTTGTGAGTGCAATTCCATCTGCCTGTGCTCATCAGCTGAGTAGTCACTGGCCTGGGCACAAACCACGCTGCCAGATTTTTTTGGCACCTTTTTGTTTGTGTGTGTGAGTGAACAACAAGAGACTGTCACAATTCTTGCATTAATCTTTTTTAGCTTGTTGTTAAGAATTTAATTTTCTTCTTAATATCTAAATATCTAAAATTTAAATTTTGGTTAAAAGCTAGATTTAGAAGAAACAGTGTAATTAAAAGCTAAATTTAAAGTGTAATTCTGATGACAGTTTAGTAAATCACCTGTTGGCTGTTGCCTTGAACGTTACTATGTCACACTGTGTGGAAATAAAATATGAAGAATTCAGCTAAGAAGAAATCATCATTTTCAAATATTTGTGTTAGTTGATAACAGCAATGGTAAGAGAGGCTCTCTCAGGTCAGACAGACATTCCTGCTTGGTTTTGTGTCCAAGCTATGGCTGGAGACAGGAACAGATGCTCAGAGAAGGGAATGAGAGATTTTCATCTTTGGGAGGACAAGATGAGGAAACATCCAAGGCACAATGAATGCCCTGTGATTATGGTAATAGGGCACACACGATTATTTAATGAATGTTTCTTTTCAGCCTCGCCCCTAATGCCCATTGTGAACGTCGTGTTGCTTGTCTGGCTGAAATGTATAGCACCTACCAGTGCCTGTCCCTGGACACTGAAGTGCTGGAGTGCAGCAGACACTTGAATGTGATCTGATGAAGTGCTCAGCATCAAGGGGTAGATGCAACAAGATCTCAACACGACAGAATTTTTGAAGGAGGTGGTTTTGTTATATCATTCATAAAGGCGCTCTCTACCTCAAAGAGGAGACAGAATCTGTCTGGTTTGTGAAGAATTAATACAATTTTCATGCAGTTTCCTGTGATGAAGTCCTGTCATTGCTGAAAAGCAGCATGGATTTTCTCTTTCTGTTTTCTGGTATATGTTAATTTTTTTTTTCCTTTTGAGAAACAACCCAATAAAAATACAAGAATGAGAGAGGGAGGAGTGGAAGAGAAGCCATAGTGCTTGCAGGAGTTCTGAGGGGAGCAGGAGCTTCAGGGAGTGCTCACCAGGGCAGGGAATGGCTGCTCAGTCACTTTGAGAATATGGAATACCTGCTAATATTCATTAGGGAAAATGGCTGTGGAGGCCTCTGAGGGATGAAAATGATCTGGTCCTCATCCTTTCTCTTCTCTCCTGTTTCTCCACCTTCACTCCCTGCCAGAAACATCTTAAAGTGACAAACCAAAACCATCATGGGAAATACGTAGCTTTAAATGAGGAGAGTTTTAAAATTTTTCTTCAACAAATTTGCCTTTTGTAAAACACCTCCCCTCATGGTACCACCCTTTCTCTTCCCACGGATGAGCTGAGGGGACACCCCTCCTGCTGAAGGACCTTTTGCTCGTTCCACCTATTAAATTAAGATCTTTGTGTCTATAAATGCTGAAAGTGAAGAGATTACTAAACAAAACAATTTACTTTGGTTGGTGTGATAAAGGCATAAAGAGTTGGAGAAGTAGGATGTGTCCCCTGCTTCCTCTGGGTCACATCCCTGCCTGCTGCCCTGTCTTCTGGCAAAAAAGTGACATCTCCAATAACTGAAGCTCCCCACAGCAAACTGCCTTAACGCAGACCTACATGGAACAACCAGCTGAAAACCCAATAATTAAGACAGAAAAATATGTGAAGGGAAAGGCCTCTCCTGTTGACATAATTTCTTTTTAATCAGGTCTTATTTATGAAAGGACATGAAACATTTTTTTCTCCTAAATCAGGCAAAGGCTCTACAGTTATTTTAGGGAGCAACATCTTTTTCTCTTAGGCACAGGATGGACACCACAAGCATCTGAGAGAAACAAGGTTTGTACAGAAACCTTGGGCAGAAACCTAGTGTAAAGAACTTTATGTGAGGATCCCAGGCCCAGCCTGGAAAATGTGAGGGGTTAACCCCGGCAGGGACTTCAGGCATCTTTTAATGAGCTCTTTAGTGTTATTAAATAATGTAGGTACGTTAAACCGTGCAGTGTTACTTCTGTTCTTCTCGTTCCGTTTGCGGAAGGATGCTCCCAACCACAGCATGGACGGCGCATTTCCCTTTTAAACTTGCATCACGCTGATCTGCAGTTTGAGAAAATGCCCTTTTTTTTAAAATTTATTTTAATTTAGCTTCAAATTTTCCCCACGGAAGCCGGGCAACCAGCTGATATCATTCCAGAATTGAATGCTACAGCTTTAAGATAAGGTGCCGGGCGCTCTCGGCGCTCACACAGCGGCTCCTCCCGTCCGCTCTTTTTTTCCTTTCTCATGCTGAAAATACCCCACCATGTTCACGATAAGAGATTTCTCTTTTTTTTTTTTTTTTCCCTTTTTTTTTTTGTTATTTTTCTTCCTTCCCCCCCTTCCTCCTTCTCCGAAATCCACCAAAACTGAAGAAAAATCCAAGTGACTGTTCTTAGCAGCTGTGTGGCCCGGAGTTCAGTGGGGAAGCGGCTTCCTGCCGTCCCTATTCATCACCTGCTTCAAAGGCGGCCTGGCCGCTCCAGTGTGCAGGCCAGGTAGGGTGCCTTTGTGCGCAGGCGGGAGGATTAATATCAAAGCTGCAGCAACCAGGCCCTTGGTCTCAGGCTGCCATTCAGGCAAGCGGGGAGAGGCTAAGAGTGGCCAAGGTCACAGCATCCAGTGTGGTGCGGACTGGGAACGGCTCCTGAGAATAGAGGGCTTCTTATGAAATCATGGTGCAAGCTTGCGGCACAGCAGGTGCCCTTCTGGAACACATACATCTGTTTATGTTGGGATAGCGTAGCTGACAACGGGATAATAGAGCTTTGTTTTTTTTATAATTTTCTTGCTCTTTTTTTTTTTATTTAAGGGGAAAAAAAAAAAAGACAACTCTATGCGCCATCGTTGAGGAATATCGCAGGAAGAGCGTTCGCTTTGGAAATCATAAAGAATTCTTGCAAAGCTTTAATTGCTGGGGTGGGGGGTTGTGTGTGTGTATACTTAAGCGAAGGGGCGAGCAGGCTGCCTATTAACCATTTAGGATCCTCAATCCTGCTGAGGAGCAGCAGCGGGATACTGGGGCACCCGCCACACAATGCGACAATGCCTCCCCTTTTTCTTTTTTTTTTTTTTTTTTAAATATTATTTTTTCGTACGCTTCCGACATTTGTACCAACAAATTGGGTAAGGATGCGCTGGATTTGCTCGGTTGTCTCCATTGTTGGGATTGTCTGGAGGAATTCTGTCACGCTAACGGTGGCTTTTTAAGAGGTGAGGTAATAGTGACGTAAAAATAAAATTGCCAACTTGATGAAATTAAGGGGGAAATTAAGCTGTAGACGAGTTGTCATGACGACAAGGATGTTCTATTGATGAACTGTACTCCTCCCTGTCCAATCAGATAGTGGAGCTGAAGCTGGAGCATGAACAGGAGAAGACGCACCTATTCCAGCAGCACAACACAGCGCAGGACTGCCTGGTCCGAGACCATCAACGGGAGATGGAGAAACTGGAGAAGCAGCTTCACGCTGCCATGGCAGAGCACGAGAGCCAAACTCAGGACAGCAGGAAACGTGACGGCCAGGTAACGATCAATAACGCTTGAAAGGCGCCCGCTTATTAGAAATTGCTGATAATGAGTGTTTCCTGTTTGCCAGCATTGTTGGTGGTGCTCGCTGGGGGAGCATTTGCGAAACTGGCACATAAACGTGATTTCGATTTTCTTTTTTTTTCTTTTTTTCTTTTTCCGCTTTCCCCCCTCCCTTCCTACTGCTGAATAGGGCTTTAAGTGCAAAAACCACAGGTAGCCAGATTAAAAATCCCATGGTGCGCTATAACTCGGCCTATTTATAATCTTGTCTCATTTTCTTTCATGATGGATTTGTTTAAGAAAAAAAGGTATCTGTTCTTTTTCCCCCCCAAGCCCTCACACTCACCCCTCCTTTTCTTCTTCCTGGGCAAATCCATGTGAATTATATCTGCTTCGTTTGTGTGCTTTTTTTTGTTTTAAATCTCTGCAGGTAACTCACAAATGGCTTTATTTCCTTTTGTTCATGTCTTTTTTGTTTCAGTTTTTGTATTCTAGATTTGCATTGTGCGTTTGGTTCCGTGTGTCGGATGTTTGATAAGATGATGTGGGTTTGGGGTCGCTTACCATCACGTTTATTTTCCTACACACACGTACCCCTCCCATCCTCCATCTCTGTGGTCACTGTTGGAAGCCATTTGGCAGAATAACCCCCAGCTGAGGTAGCATTTGACTCTTCAAACTTCTGGATGAAATGCACACTGTCAGCATGGAAAATGATCTTTATGAGTTTTCACTTCAAAAACCATCTTACTGCCTTTTTTCAATGTATTTTGTAAGGACGGCGTGGTATATTTTCCTAAGAGCCTTTATTAAAAAGGCCTGCAATGGCAATATTCTAAAAACTAAGGTGATTTTCTAGTTTAAAGATTTTACAGAAAATAATCTTTCCTAATCAGCGTTAGAATTGCTTATCACGCATGGATTATTTTATAGCCAAACTGGACATTTTGGTAAAGCATCTTTGTTGACACGTTTTCCGCGCACCACCACCTTCCCTAGGAGATGTTAGGCTCAGACTAAGAGGCATTTTCGCTCTACTTTCCTGTAGGCTGGTAGACTGTGTCTTTTACTAACACCTCCAATGGAGCTAAATGAAACTGAATTGAAATTTTACTTTTAAAATCAACTGATTTTTTACTTTGAACGGCTCAGACTATCGAAATCTGGCTTAAGGAAGTCCATTAGGAAGCAAACGGCTTCTTGGGGGAGGTTGAGAGGTATATTGCAAAGCCAGGACTTATTTCTCCATTTCTACAATTGTGGTTTTCCAATGAAAACGGGATATACTTTGTGAGAACACTTGAGCAGGGGATACTCAGGTGGCCTCTGAAAAAAAAATTAAACCTCGCCTTTTATTTTCCGCTGCATTGTAAGAGCGAACAAAGCCTTAAATGGTTCAAGGGATTGGTTTTTATCTTTGCATTTTTTCTTTTTGGCCCAGGATAGATTCATCTCAGCTCTGGATCTGTTTGCAAGTGTCTTTTCAGACTTGCAGCCTCTTCTCACCTGCATTTCTGATGTTGGTTTTTTTTGCGGACAAAGGCAGAGGTGTAACTCCCACATTAAAAGAAGACGGTTTTGGAATTATATAGAATTATTCTGTCTACGCACTAGTGCTCATCCCAGTTCCTCTGTTGCTCTGTAACACTGAATGCAAAAGGAAGGGGACTCTCTTCAGCAAATCCTGAGAACTGGGAGGTGTCTCTAAGTCCAGCTCTGGTTTGTGCTCTTGGGGGTCATTTCTGGCAGAGGCTGGAGCCCAAAGTTTGGTTGTGCTTTCCGTTTGCAGGGGATCAACAATGCTACTACAGGTGCTCTGTGGAAAGCTGGGAAATTTCACAGCTATTGGGGGAATCTGAACAGTCTGAAAAGCAGAGTTTGGCCTTTTAACAGAGCTTTTCTTTGTAGTTTGAATATCCCTGTACAGTCATTTGAACATTGCTGCCATGAGAATGACATGTAAATCAGGGAAGAAAGGGCAGTTGCTTTGACTAGAAGAGCTGTTGTTTGTTTAAATTCTAGTGAGACTCTCCCAGCTTTCAAGGACGCAGATTTTTCCATTTGGGAAAATAAATTGCTCTTCGTTCCTTCCTCTGGTCTTTGTATTCAAATCCACCTCTGTCTTTGCACTGAGCTCAACAGAAAATACTGGTGTTTCTTGTGGAATTATAGCCCAGATTTTTAATATTTTTTTTTATTCTTCGCATATGTTTACTAAAAATGCATGTTTTGGACATCTGATGTGACTAACGGCCAGTGTCCTTTATGAAACATTTGTCAGGCTCTAAACAAAGGTAACCCAGTCATTTAATGGGTGTTTAACAGCACTGCATTTTAAAAACCTGTTAAATTGGAACCGTCTTTGACAGCAGTAATTTTTAGGAGTGCTTTGTGTCGCAGCGAAGGTGAGATGAAATAGGAGTGGAGGCCATTTTGCTTGGCGAAATGAAAAGTGGATTTGCTGGGTTATTCGAAAAATTTAAATAATAATTAGTGTTAATCACATATGAGTAGCTTGGTTTGAAGGACCTATCTGCTCAGTGTTGGGTGAATGATGTGAAGGCACCATTATTAAAGGTATTCACTGGAAGTCTTTCTTAAATCCTTTTCCATATGAAAGAGTAACGAATACGTATTTCTTAATATACGTGGTTAAAATATGTATTTCACTATATTCCTGAAGACAGCTATTACTGAGTACTGCAGATCAATTTCTTTTGCTAATACTGTAAAGATTAATTTAGTTTTTTTATTGCATATCCAAGGTCTCTACTTGCACATAGGTCTTCAGGTACTGTGAAAGACACTATACAAAATGGTTAGATTTTGTTCAAATATAAATACATTTATTAATGCTTTAATCTCAACTAGAGTATAAAAAATAAGATTTGAGTGCCTTTCCAGATATTAATTAAATATAAAACAATGTTATTTCTTCGTGAAGCGTAAGTCTAATATATTTTCAAGAAAGGAATTTGATTGAAGCGTATCACCTTTTGTGTTGATGATAAATTTCTGGATCACGATTGCATTCCGCCTGAATTTCTCCATTTCCAGGAGTCTTCCTCTGATTTTTTCACCTGGGGTTGTAATGCTTGGGGAGGAGTAAATTGACTTGTAGGTCAATAAAAGTCAAAGCAGTACAAAGGCTTTTATGCCATGCTGTGTTCTTGTAGGCTTTTAAATCCTGTACGTTTTCTAAGAACTGCAATAATGTTGTTATTCTTTAAACAGTAGCTAATCACACAGGATTGTGTTTTTTTAAATGGGAAGTTTTGAATCGCTACTTCTATTTAATTTAGATACCTGGATTTTCTTTAGGAGCATTGTTAAGTTTGCTTATACATTCCGCACCTGCCTAAGTAATTTTAGTTTATCCATCAGTTCACAAAACAGGGAGCTCCTTGCATGATGGAGACCTTCCTTTGTTTTAATAAAAGCAGTCTTGCTATGGAATCAGTGATTTTCTGAAGCAAGACTTCAGGTCACAGAGAATATATCCGGTTTGCTTGGTGAAATGAAATAGCAACGTTAGGAAATTTTAATAACTGAAGCGGAGGGGCTGAGTGTCTGCGGTGCCAGTTGTTCCCTCATATTTCCCCTTTGTCCTTTGAATGTCCTTCTCTCCCCAGCATCTGTCACGTGCCCTCAACCAGCTCAAAGATTTCCATGTTCCAGCTGCTGTACAGAGTTGGATCATTTTCCTGCTTGTTCTTCCACCGTTGACCTTTGGGCAAGAAGAAGAAATAAAATGTACCCCTGTAACATCAAATACGGTGCTTGGCACTAAAGGAGAGGAAAGAAAGTTTCCATGAGGAAGCTGAATCCTCTTTCCAGGTTCTGTTCTGAGATAATTGGCCAGGCCACTGTGTTCATCCAGTCATAATTGGGTCAAGAGCAGCTGGAGTGCTCGGGCACATTCTGCCCGCGCGTGTCACTGATGTCACAGTGTTTAATTTTAACAGGCAACGTCTGTGCTCTCAAAAATGAGGCTGCTGTAAGAGATCACTGCTCTTTTGGGGTGTCTTGGGGCTCTCAAGAAACCCTTTTTGGTCAGGAAAGAAAAACCTTGAGTAGTTCTGAAGCTGTGTGGACGCAAACATTGAGGGCAGAGCTTGTTACAAAAAGCCCCGACAAACAGGCTGGAGGTGGTAAGAAGAGTTAATAAGGTGTTATCCCATGGCTGGAGGATCTTTTTTTTCCTTTTTCCTCTCTTGCTTTGTGAACTTTTCATAATCCCCTTGGCCTTTACCATCCAGGTTTGCTTTCCCTTCTCAGAAATCAGCGGCTCCTCCCTTGCTGTCCCATGTACAGCACATCCCATCACTTCTTTTCTGGCTTCTCTTTGGAAATTTCTTTCTTTGCACTTGGGATCAACAATCTTTCTTCAGCTATTGCTTTGCACCTGGTTCTGTCTGAATTAATTTGAGCCTGTGGAGTTAAAATAAAAAACCAGTAGCAATCACTATTTTCATTCCAGCAGTGATAGTTCTTCTCATTCCAGCAGGTTCTTGGTATATGTTTGTGGTTCTGTAGATAATTAGTGTATCGACCAAGTGGGGGAAACAGAGGCCATTTATCTTGGCTCCATAAATGTATGAAGAGTGGCTGTGCTGATGTATGTCTGCTGCAGAGCTCTCTCAACTACTGACAAGAGAAAATACAGGAAAAAGCCCAGCAGAGACATTACCTGCTGGTTTAGTGGTAGCTAAACACCCAACTCATGCCCAGTTTCTGCCTGTGTGCAAATACTGCTGCAGCAGTAACTTTGCAGTACTGTACTGTATTAATAAGAAGGATTTTGGGAGCATTTTTTTCAGAATAGGAGACTCTCTTCAACTTTGATTTGAAAGAACCTATTGTTACCCACAGATAAATCACTGATCAACTCTTCTGCTTCGTGTAATTGTTTGAATATCTCCAGATAGCAGTTCCCACATGGTTATTCTCCCAGTATCAGTGGAAGCAATTTGCTTGAGGGGATCTGGAGGGTA